GAGATGAGTACAATGTGATGTGAATGACTTCCATATTTACTTTGTGCTACCTCACTGGTTTTGTCTTGTTTGTCTGACAGGAAGCAGCTAATACAGTGTCTTTCCACCAGACAGAATGAAGGCTAAAATCTTCCTCCGCTTTGACTGTTATCAGTGTAGCCTGAATTAGTCAGTCATCTCGCCCAGGTTTTTGTGAGAGTGGTGTGTACTTGTCAAAACCTGAGATAACTTGAAGTCTGCTAACACACATATATGCATGTCCTGACAGCAGTCATAAGCAGTGACAGTCAGTCTTCACCTGCGTTACTACAGCTCATTTGAAACAACATCTCAAGTTTCACAGCAGGAAGCAAAGAGCGCTTTCTCAGAAAACAGATAAACAACCTCCTAGTGACTCATGATCTCCCACTCTTTACGACAGCAACATTTTGTACAACTTTTATCAGATTGAATCACACTGAAAATATCAATGCACAAGGAAGTCCTCTTGGTTTCAATATGCTTCATCTCTATTACCATCTCAAAAACTAAAGGATTCAAATTGTGAGACAAAGCATGCATGCTCAAAATGTCTTTTAAACCATGCATTTGTAGTTTTGACAATGATAGTTATAGTGAAACAGGAGATTAAAGTAAATGCCCACAAACTGACATTGCATCATTGGGTGAGATGCATTCATATTGAAGAATTTCTAGCTGCGTGAAGAAACTCCTGAATTGCTTTACTATTACAATGTGGTTGCCTTGTTTTATAGGTAAAGGGTTTTCCTCCTTTGTATTTTAATTCATAATTCCTTCTGAAACTGAGTTCTTTTGCACATTTTCTATACTGTATTATCTTTATCTTTATAGTAGCTAGTTGTGTACTGCATCTGAAGCATATTGACTGAGAGTCCTCTGAGGGCATATCCAGAGGCAATGTTTGACGCTACTTGTTTTAAACCTCACGGCGAGCGTGCAGGACGTTGCTGATCTGATGTTGGAGAGGAAAGTGCCCCCCGCTGTGGCCTGTACACAGAGTGGTTTGGGCATTCGTCTTGATGTGGCGTCTGCCCACGCTGGTGGTCATGCTGTGTCACGTGTCCAGCGCTCTTGGTACGATCCTTGGAGCTTTGGCCATGTTAAAGATATGGCCCGGTTAGCCTGGCAGGTCAGCCTCTCACACTTGAAAGGCCTCTCATGTGCATCTGTGTGTGCTCTGTCCTGACTGGCTGCCTGGTGCACGGCTAGCCCGCTCACTAGCCTTCCCCTGTGTCAGTGTCTAATGATGGACATGATAGAGGGAATCAAAGAGGAGATGGAGCTGACGTTGGGGCCGCCGCTCTGTGGGACACCAGGTGATTGGGGAGGCAGCTTTGAAGCAACTTGTTGGATGGCTGTCTATTAATGTAAAATATCTCTTTTTCAAAGGACTTTATTCACGCTCAGAGTAGCTGCGCCCAGAGGGGTCAAGGTGTCTGGCAGAATAATCGTCTTCGCTTGAGAAACAGGGTGCTAAAAAAGACATAATATTTCAGAATGTCCATATCCTCAGTCCATTTTGTTTCTAGGTGGAGTTAGGCCACATTTACACAAGGTAAAATATAAATCAAACAGATTTTGAGTCTATGGTATCAAGTTGTAATGTGGTCAAAGTTGAATGAAATTCTTCAGGATTCACTGATATAGATTGTTCTCTCCACTCCAAGATACTTCTGTAGCCACAGCTGCCCTGTTATAGACTGTTATTCTGTGCCATCTGTCCTTTATACCAACACTATTCACAAGGGCTGCCACAAGTTAATTGATGAATGAGAACTAATCAATTATTGAAATGGTGATTGAATAATCATTAACTGGTTTATGCATAGGCTCTAACGCCCGGTGTACACTGACTGCAAGTGTGGTACTTACAGCAGGTTACTTGCAGATTTCCTGTTATGGTAATAACAAACAAATGACACTGTAAATTTGCAGATGTTGTGTTTGTGATGAAAACGTAAAAATGTGCCTGTAAATATTTTCCATCTGAATGTCCTCAAGTGGCTTTGCTGCAGCTTTATTTATATTTAGGGTACAATTTAGAAAAATCTCATTTTCACTGGCCTTTGCGTTGTAAACAACTTATCAGTTAATCGAAGGACCAATCACTAGGTTAATTGATTTGCTAAATAATTGTTAGTTGCTGCGCTTCTACTTGACTCACTGACACAATACTCAAGAGGTCCAGGGTCAGCGTAACTTTCCTCAGATCAGATATCTCTTGTCACTTAAAACCACTCAATGACAGACACAGTTTTATTCCCCAAGTAGCAGGTTTATGAATAGTGAATTACAGCTTCATAAATTGCTCCATCCGTTTTAAGTTACCAAGATACAGTTACAGGTCTATCTGGGCTTATGTGGGCGACAGTAAGACAGACCAAACAGAAGGTTATTGGCCGACATGGGTGAAAGATCATAGTACTTACTCATATGGTGTGACAATCCCTAATGTCTCATCCTATACTGTAGAAGTGACACACATGATTCTCCAAAGCTAAGCCAGCCCATGACCCCAATAAAATGTGCACGAATCTTTGATATGTACTTTGATACCATATTTTATTGATACTGGAGGCGCTTCCATAATATCATGTACAGTTCTGCATTCCAGGAGATCAGAGAGAATAGCTGTTCCCTGACCCATATAAGCTCTGGGTCTGAATTCGTCCTGTTTGCCTTTTACTAGAGATAGGCTGCTTAAGTTATGTCTGTCGACGGCTTTCTTTAATGCCCCCTGCTCACATAAAGTCAGGATTTACTGCGGTAATAATGAGTCTGTTTGGATAGTCTACCCTTCTGTTATTAGGTCATAAAAGTGCACAGAAGGTTTAGAATTGGCATCATTTATGAGGTTAGATTATGTGAAGATGGGTTTTACAAAGACTACGATCATCTGTATTACTTACAGTATGTGATACTGTGCAAAGCAGCTCTAGCGTATGGTTCATAATTCCCTAAGCTGTAATCGTATTGGTACCAGCCAGACTACTCCGGCATCAATCAGTGAGCAAATGTATCTATTAACTTTTATGTTACTATTAGGTAAAGACATAAGCCATAAAATTGGTGAAGATTAGGCCTGCCACGATAATTACTATACCAATGTATTCTTCAATATATGATAAATGGAACATTTTGGTGGTCAATATTTATCATCTATACATTTTCTTTGCCCTACTGAGAAATGCTTGCTTATTTATATGATAAGATTTGAGTCTTAGAAGATCGAATTAATAAATTCTATGACTCATTGCAGATGCAAAATAAGTAATACATTGTAAAGAGATTCTGCTATTTATTTATTGTAGATCATGATTTTTTATTAATGTTGTAGATTTAGAATAGTTTATCCGGTTTAAATCTTCTCACGGGTTGTTGTATGAATGGCATAAATTAGTTTTATTATTATTGTTTATCATTTATATTTAATTCAGCTATATATTTACTTCAAAAGTTGTTATTGTGTAGGTCATTTTATGTCTACACTTCACATTTTTCTTTTTGTTCTTTTATGCAAACCAAGTTATTTTAAAGACTTACTTGCAGGTTTCTAGTCAGGCTGGCGCCACCTAGTGCCTCCGCTCAATTTCATTTCTCTCCCGCGACTAGGTCAGGAATCAGAATACACTAGAGGATTCGCAAAAACCAAAAAAAGTTCGGGCACCAGCCAATCAGTGAAGAGCCATACATTCTGTTTTGGAAATGATTCTCGAGATTGAGGATTTAAAGCCGAAACAAAAAGAATGTTGTTGAATTTTATCAAGAGGAAAGATGTTATTGTCCTTCTTCCTACGGGATTTGGGAAAAGCTTAATATACCAGTTACCCCCGTTAGTGGTGCTTTACATACTGTATGTCATGATCATATAGCAGCGACTGGTTAAATTAAAGAAGTACCCGCCTACCACTGAACGAACAAATTCTAACTCTGTGAGGTCAGACGGTTTCTACAAAGTGAAACCGGCTGATGAATCAGGCTTGCAGGTTTCTTCCACATCCATTGATGGTTAAAGGAGCACTGTGTAACTTTTCTAGTGTAGAGTCCACAATCTATTTGTCTTCATGTAACTGTTATCGCATTGCCCAGAAATGTTTCACGGTATTACATTTGTCTTTCTTCGTGAGAAAAGCGTGTGGCGGTACCAGACCAAGTTATAAATCAAATCTATGTAGAAGTGACCACACTCACTATACGAAAACATGCTTTTTCTGTGTAATATTTTAGCATTAGAAAGTCAGTGGTAAATAGATATTAGATTGATAAGTTTAATGCCTCACTATGAAACTTTTCAGACAGCAAAGGAGACCCAAACACCCCTTTAAGTATATCAACAAGTCTCCATTTTTACTATGAACTACGTTACTACTACAAACATCTCCTAAAATATACACAAAATATTTCATAGGTAGCTCATTTTCCCAGTATATTTTGGTATATGTTGTACGGTCACTCCCTGCTCACCCACATAGCAGCCCTCTGTGGTTTGGCTCTCTGATCTGACTTGACATCTCCTAAGCTTCTGTTGCCTCTTGGTTCTTAAATGGGACCACATTTCTCCCTGAACGCCACTCTTTCAGACCAGTCCATCTCCATTTCTCTCTCCTCTGCTCTCTCAACATCTGCTTTGAATCTGGCAACGTGTGCTACTGTGTTTTGGGTCTAAAGGCCTCTCTTTGATTTTTTTCCCTACTTTTCCGGTCCAGCTCATACAATGCTGGTTTAGGAAGACTTCCAAGGTGAGCTGTGCTTTTTTTCTGGTGTGTGAATCAATAGTTTCTCCAATATAAAATCAGTTTGGATTCAGCTGAAAATTTTTAAGTAAAGATTAATCATAATGACTGAAATTACATGCATTTTTGTCTATTAAAGTAGATCTTTTTGTCAGATAATAATGAACACAATAAATGGAGCATAAAAGAAAGAAAAGAAAAAAATCTAAATTAACCCTGAATTGTTCTTGTTCTTTCTGTTTGCAGACAGAGGCGAGGGAGACCATACCCAGGATGCTGGTCGAGCTGGATCTTGGCCGCACAGAGAAGTGTGTCCGGGTGAACTCAGTGTCCAGTGGTTTGGCTGATGCTGACCTCCAAGTCCTTCTGCAGGCCCAGGTGCTGCCCCCCGCCATCATGCTGCCCAAGGTGGAGAACACAGACGAGGTGCAGTGGGTAAGAGCCTTCATTTTTAAAGTCAATATGTTTAAAAATAGGACACATCTTGATTTACACTAAAGTCAGTGACCAAAATTCTCAAACTTATGCTTTGGTGATATTTTGCAACATAAAACAAAGGCTGACAATAGTAAAATATAGGCTTTGACCGAATATAAGTAAATAAAAAAAAATTAAATAAAAAAATTAAATTACCAGTTCAAGTAGATTAAAGTTTGTGAGTTGCTCAAAAGTGACAGATGAACAAAAACAAAACTGGTAAAATAACTGTCAAACATGTCTTACTTTTTCTGAATTCAGTCAGAAGTAAACAGAGGAAAGCCACAAAGTTTTCATTGCATCAAAATTTGAACTTCCAGCCAAGGTTTTGACTAAAAGTGTGATTCAAGAGGTAAACATCTGCCAAGACAGCTGAGTTGTTCCATTTTCTATTGCCAAATGTCAATATATTTTACTCATAAAGAATATATTTTACTCATAAATGCCTATCAAATGTTATTAAAAGCTAACATACTTTTATTAGACTTAAAAAGGCAACAACAAACAAAAGCATAGCTACACTGAAACTACCAGTGTTACATTTCTTCTTCTTCAACATGTACTTTTGCTTACCTATTACCTCGAAACTAACATAAATCTTCTGATATTTAGACTGATTAATACTGAACACTGAATGGATCTAACTACACCTAAGTTTAAATAGGGTTTCTTGCCCCTCTGGCCTTTCTGTAAAGAGTGCAGCCTGAACGTCAGAGCTAAAAAGGTCAGGACACAGTGACATCATTAATACAGACCTGGTGTATCAGATACATGTGGTAAAACTAACAAGACAGCACAACACTTTTTATGCATTCACTTGTTCAAACTAAATGTTTAAGAAAGAACTCAACATTTTCCAATTAGCCTATTCTTCAGCATTATGAAACGTCATATAAATATAGTCGTACATGGTCTTGGGGCAGGAGCAGGAAGTTTTTAACTAGTGCTTTTAATTAGAACAGGTCTATTTCCTGCCTGGTGCCCTTTCTTTCTTCTGACTATAATTGCTGACAGGTGTTCAATGAAAATCTCTCCTCCCTCTTCCATTTTGTTCATGTCTCACTCTACAATGTCATTTGGCATATTGATATTATGTTATGTTTATGAATATTTATAGACTTAGCTGAGCCCTGTGAGCTAGCCTGTTAACTACCGATTATCCTTCATTTAACGCTTCTATTATGAACTGACAAAACAAAGAAAATGAGTTTGTATTTGTTTATTTTATACTTTTAGGGTTGGGTCTAGTGATGGTAGTTTTGTACAAATAATAATAATAATAATAATAATACACAAACAAAACACACTGCCCCCCCCAAAAAAAAAAACAACAACAACAACAACAACAACAACAAAAAACAAAACAAAACAAAACAAAACAAAACAAACAAAAACAAAACAAACAAAAACAAAAATGGCATATCTTCACAACTTAAGATCTGATCTGATAAACAAAATAAAAGCCTCCGTAACACTTTCAAACTGTTCGTGTTTGCTCTTCAGTATACATTATTCTTTCTAATATGAGGACAAACATCTTTCACATGCACTGACCTGTAGTCCTGTAGTTATTTACCATAAAATATAATAAATATAATAAAATGAAGTAAAAATTCATTCATTAAATAAAGCCTTATGCAATATAAGAAGGTGAAGTGTTGAAGTCAAATAATTTAAGTTGAGTACCGTAATATGGTTTTAGGTTACCCTAATTCAATTTTCTTTATTTAATCATAGGTTCAGTTTAAGTTATGATAAGTTATAACTTTGCAGTAACTTAACTTAATAAATCTCATGTAATCTATTTCATCATAATTTATAAGTTCGCTGATCCTATCCCAGTGCCAAGTCTATTTGTCTTGTCAGAGCAGCCGTAAATCCTCTTGCTTGGTTTTCCTCTTTTTTTTTTCATTGATATTATCCGCGAGAAGCTCCGGTCTGATTTGTGGCTAAAAGATGGACTTGCATGTTTCCCTTTGTGCTGAAATCTTTAAGCTGGGCCTTCCTCCTCTTCCCCCAGCTCTTGTGTGACTGACAGCCCTTATTGGTCCATAACAGGCGTAACTCCCCTCCTTTGTCTAAGCAACAATTCTCACACACATTCGGAGCCGTGTGCGTTCTTTACCCGTCGCACTATTTGGGACTCAAAGCAAGTCCCCTAGACCCTCCTCCTGTCTCCTCCCCCTTTTTTCTCTGGGCTTCCCCTGTGTGAAATGAACACTTCAGCAGGCCGGAAACATTTAATCTGGCCTCCTTTTGAAGAAAATTAATTGAAACTTGTCCCACTATAGGCCCTATTCTCGTGGTCAATCTCGCCCTCCTTCTCTTTTCATGATGGGCTGGTGGAAATTGTCAGAGGGCTTGTTTGTAGACGAGAGCTTTTGAACGACAAGAAAAGGAGGTTATTTCTTCTGCGTCTTTTCTATTTTTAATTTAGCAGTGAATAACGGCTAAATGAGGTCCTAGATTTGAGAGCCATTGATGGTTAATAATTTCTTTACAAGGACGAAGCACTAAAGATCTACTTGTACAGCGTAAATGAGGCCCTCGATGTGGAGAATGGGCACAGAAGAGCAGAAGTACACCAGAATAATAAAACCCATTCTCATGTGATTTACTATTGAGGTTAGTGCTTCAGTGTCCTGTGTTGGCATTAGTTTGTTTGGGTAACAGTCTTTGTGGAGCCAACTGAAGCTCTACACATGTCAAGTATCAGGCCTAATGTATCTTAGGTTGTTTAGGTTCTATTTATTTACTTTTGTACAGAAAACTCCCTCCTCATTATAGCGCTCCATTGTGTAATATACCTGCATATGGTGTACTATTAACTCTACCCCTACAATGCCTTGGCAAAGATTTGAGGTTTAAGCATAAGTGACTGAGTGACTGTTTTAGACTAAAAACATTTCTGTGCAGCACATAGGCCTGTAACAGCACATGAACACGGCATCAGCTGAGATGGTTGGCGCCAACTCCAGATTGGTGTTTCGTTTTCTAACCCCACCTATGCTTTTTACCATTGTGTTTGTTGGCAGGAACAGCTTGTATTCAATATATTGCATACTCAGGGAAACAATGTGTTTGAGAACGAATGGTGTCTTTGAAACTTTGCACCAAAATGTATGTATTTGACAGTGCAATGTGTTGACCCAAAGTACAGTAGTGTTTATCTTTAGATACTAAATCCAAATGTCTCATTCTCCTTTTGCCCCTTTGGGGGCCCAAACAACTCCCAACTTGTAGCTGTGCAATAATCAGCTGGCTTTTCCGCTGCCATAACTCGCATCTGCCCAGGTCCCAGAAATAGGTTTATCCACACCCTCTTTTCACACTCCCGGTTTAAGCCCCGCCTCTTCCTGTGTTTTAAGGGGGTGCAGTGTATTATGCTAAGCCCCCAGCGTTAGTTTTTATGTTGCCATAGCAGCCCTGCTCCCACAGGGTTGTGACCTCAGATGATTACAGTACAAAGCCTATTGGGTCTCCAAAACCTCTTTGAAGATGAAAAGTCTTTGATGGTTTGTATTTATGCAAATCTCTCAGATATTATTTATCCAACTGCGATTGAATGGAGAGATGATTAAAATTGCCCCCATTTTCTTAAATCCGTCAATTGAGGCCCTGTTTTTTTTAGGTGAACAAGAGTTTGTAAGTGCCAGGGTTATTTGGGTGTGCATTTTGCAAAATCTTAAAGCTTCACCTGAGGTTTTGTCCAAGGAAAGAGGACATGGAGTTAGACAATTCTACCCCTAGTATTTTTTTCTTTCTTTTTTTTAGACTTGCTTTCAAAGGAAATATCTAGCGGAGGGGGCTTTTGTGTGTTTCCAGATGATAGATTTTGGAATTTGGGCTACCCCACTGGCAGTCCTGGGCCTCGCTGTGAACTGGTCTGTTGGAAGAAGAAAAAAAATGGAATGCTTTGGTCTTCAAAGAATTAAACTCAGTTTTAAAGCCCTACTTAGGTGAGCTTGCATATTAGCAGGAGTCGTGGGGAATAAAGGCCTCAGCAAAGTGTCACATCACACTCTTGATTGTGGCTCGGGTCTCCCTGTTCGCCACCATGGAGGGTGCCAGGCAAAACTGAATAATGTCGCTGGAAAACACTCAAAGACATACCCCATATCTTGTTTTGTCTTCTTTTTATTCAGAATTTAGTTTGGTGGCGTGTGCAGGCTCTCTCGAGGGAGCTGTACTTGTCTGTCTAGAAGACTTCAGACGAGAGGGAACCCTGGTGATAATGTAAAATATTTCATTGAATTTGCTTTTCTTACTGCTGCCGTTCACTCTCGCCCACATGATCTGAAGTGTGTTTTTCAATGAGGACGCAGGAATACAGGTAATGGAAGTGCCAATATTTGTATCATGACTTTCTTCTCTTCATATCTCAGTGATTTCAAAAGTGTGTTATAGTACTAATGACTCACACAAATACTTCATAACTGCCTATGATTTTCCCCCATTTCCTTTTTGAAACTAATACAGCATTGATAGTCTGGAGCACCTGCTGAGTGAGCTTCAAACATAACAAACTGCCTCAACAGCTTGTTGATCCTGGTTATTTTATGTTAATTGGGTTAAAGTGAGTGATAAGCACTGCAAAGTATTCAAAAAAGAAATTATATGACAATATACATGAATGGCATACTGCGATTGGGTTTGTATTAATAAAGATGCACAATAACTTCTTTGGTGAGGGGATATTATTCATTGTATTATTCATGGTTTGATATAATACTTTTATACAGATTCAGGTTTTCATTTATTTTGTGTGGAGAAATTTGGCTCTGAACAAGGGTCAGTAGCATTAACATAACATACAGACATGACATAACAAGACACACTATAAAAACATAGAGAACTGGACAATATACAATCATTAAAGCTCAACACATCAGTCAGTCCATGTCACACAGGGAGTATATCCTGTATATATTTTAGAAAAGTATCCCGTCACCCTCTGTTGTTTAAATAAAAAAGCATTTGGTAACATAAATAACATGCACCTATCCATTTGTATTAGTTTGTATGTACTGTTTGAAACACTTTTTGCCCCAAGTTCATGTTGTACTCCAGCTCCACTCCAGTGTGGTGTGACAGTAAATACAATGAGGCACATTAAACACTATTTAGACAAAGTTAATTAATCGTAATCCTCTGGAGGTTTAGTCCCCCATTTCCACGTAAACAGTGAGTGCAGTTAATGAGTGGAGATGTTGTTCTTTGTGTTTAGTTCTTTGACAGGTTTCAGCACCACTTGAAAGGCCGTCCGCTGACAGAACCCATTCGCCTGGTCACCTTTGTGGAAACCGCTGTGGGCCTGCTCAATTTTAAGGTAAATTACAAACAATTCCCGCCTCCCAAAAACTGCATGCGTAAGAGGTTTTGGGCTGTTTGTCCATTGTTCACTTTAGATTAAAGCCCCCATCGGCGAAACAGGAGCTCACCACGTGTCCAAATACAAAAAAACATTTCAAAGTATTCGGACAGTCTATCAAAAAGCACGCCTTTTTCTGTCTGCCTCTGTCTGTTCCTCTGTGTCCCTTCCCCAGACATGTTTTAATTAGAAGTCTATTATTGTAATCATAGTGAAAAGTTGTTATTAATATTTTGGCAGCATCAAAGCTACTGCAGCGTGACCTTCATCTGCATGGGGAAAGTGCACGATTCGGGGGCATTTTGGGGTGTTACAAGCTGTCCCCAATCCTTGTTCATTTGTCTTGTACTTTTCATTTTGGTTGCGTTGCCGTTTGAGTTTGTGTACAAAAAAAATGTGTGTGCGTTTGATTGCGGGGGGGAAGGCGGCTTTGTATGTTTTCTTGAGAACACCCTGTAACTGTGCCCAGAACGAGCCCTGGTTCTACTCACGCAGTCACTCGCACATAAAAAAACAGTGGCACAGCTAGTGGTGAAATTAATTTGGAGTCCAACAATGGCATGAGACGTGTTCCTATTGTTTCATGTGCTTCACAAGAGACAATCACAGTCCAGTTATTTGTCATTCAGTTGTAATAATTGTGGCTGCTGATTTTTAATGATCTATTCTGTTCTACTTGGGAGCTTTTTCACAATGAAGCCCTGCATATTTTCTTTATCTACAAACACCATTGCAAATTAGGACTCTCTTTATATTGCAAATCTCAAAGATCAATATTTCATTGACTCAAAACATAAAAATCGTAGAAGTTGTTGAAAATATTAACTAATGTTGATTATAGCAATATACCTCAATACGGACAACAAATACCATTCAAGATTATTGTCTTCTAAGTTTATATTTTTGTCTTCCATGATTGTAAATCCAATATGTCTTTGTATATAAATAGAATATATATTTTTTCTGCAATTAACCATCATCATTTGTTTTTCTCTCCAGGAAGTGTGTGAGAAAGTTCATGAGCTCGCTCCTAAGGCCGGCCTGCATCACGATGGCGTGGTCTTTGGTTCAGATGACTTCTGTGCCAGCATAGGTATACAGTACTTTGTTGTGTTGTTGTCTCTTAAACTGTTTATACAATCTTTAAATCTCTAGTTCGTTGTTGCCAGGTGCTACCCGGACAAAAGACGCCAAAGAACTGATCTATGCCAGGCAGAAAGTGGTAGTGACCTGTAAGGCGTTTGGTCTGCAGGCCATTGATCTAGTCTATATCGATTACAAGGATGTGGACGGGCTGCGGCAACAGGCCCGAGAAGGAGCTCTCATGGGATTTACAGGTAAAACTTTTTTTTACATGCATTCTTATCTTATTCTTCTCTATATGGTTATGTTTGTCATCAGTTACCACTCACGATACACCTTTAGCATTGTTAGTAATGTTTTTTTGAAATGTAATGTCAGGTGTGTTACAAGGTAGTTGACATAAACTGAGCCACCTCTACACTAGCCCTGTGTGTGTCAGTGTAGCCAGGCAACGCTTCACTGTGAGTGTGTGTCCTGCAGACTGCTTGTAGCTCACCACTGACCGCTGGACATCCTGTTCCCAAATACTTACACCAGGGATGTATCTATTTTGTTTTTATTAATGTAATGTCAGTGCAAGCAATTATATAGTAAAGATACTGTACTGATCATAGTATGCTATGTAAGTATTTAAACCAGTGCATTGCTCTCCTAACCACTACAGACCTTGTAGATTTAGGTAGTGGAACAGCACAGCCAAAATCCTACCTGTGCCGTAATTGACCTTGGCACCACTTAAGCTTTACTGCTCCTATTAGCACTGAGCGCCAAATCACTGGTAAGACATGAGGACACTGTGTTCTGGTCACCGGGCAGATGGGAATGTATACTTGGCAAATATCAAGCTCTATATATTAGTTTGATATTTTTAGACATCCTTAAATTGTGTCTGATGTTTTCACTCCACTATGAAAGCAATACTACAGATTAATGTCAAATCTGTGTCTCCCAAATCCTCTGTTCTGTCACCACATTTCACTTCCGTCCTTCTAGACCTTGCCCATCATTCGTCTGAAAGCACTTTGCTAAATAGCAGTCATCCAATGAGCTCTGGACCCCACATGGCGGGTTTTGATTGGCTGTGGGGCAGGAGTGATGCATTTTGGGAGAACCAATCGCCTGTGACCAAGGGTACCTGAGTAGCCCTGGATGTCTTTTCACTGCTCTGATATCTGACACATAGGACATTCTAAATGCCACAAGCCTCTTTCCCTCTGCTCTGTACAACACATTTGTTGCTGTATATTTAGTAAATTTGAGATGCTGTACACTGTATTGTTTTATGCTGACATTTTGCCTGATTACATTACTATAAAAATGAATTAAGGGATCAACTCCATACATTCCTTGAGTACCTTTTATTTCTTTTTTTAAATATACAGACTGATTTATTATTGATGAGAGGACAAAGCCTGTATTTTTTGAGTCCCTGCTAACTTCACTGAAATAATTTTATAACATTAATTTATCGTTACAATTTTGATCTGACGAATTATGACATTGCCATATGCCCTTATTTCAAACTAGTGTTATAGGTGAACAGGAGGTAAACACTTGGACTCAAGATTTTTTTAAAGGATTTGTTTTTATTTAATAAAATATCCTGAGAGTGTGTGTCCAGCCTTTTATGTCTTATGCAGTGATAAACATATGGTACTTTATATTTAGCAGATTTGTAGCTATTCTTAATATTATTAGATATAGAATATTTGGTTTTATATTATTATTATTATTTATTTTCACATTTAGCTTTAAACATGCATACCAAATCATAATGTGAAGTGCTTAGTGATTTGTTGAATGTGCATGACTGGGCACAGTAATGCTTGAATGGAACGCAGAAAGCCAATGGAGCTCAGTGTTCTACCCGGCAACAGGAAACATCAATATTCTATATAGAACTGCTTTTAGACTGTAAACTTCAGTACTTTATTTCCATGATCCACATCTAAATGACCAAAAAGGAGTACATCCTGGAAATATCTTTTCTCATATTGTGTTTTTTATGTTCTTCTGTCTTGGCAGGAAAACAAGTGATCCATCCAGGGCAGATTGCAGCAGTGCAGGAGGAGTTTTCTCCCAGTCCAGAGAAAGTCCAGTGGGCCACTGAACTCATAGCTGCTTTTGAACAACACCAGAAGGAGGGGAAGGTATTGTACAATATTTTTGTGTACTATAATATTTTCCAGTTGGTGATTAGTGTTTAAAAAGAAATTATTATTTTCCTATTCTGAAAGAAAGTCTAAATGCTCTCTTTACTGTGTGTCAGCATGGCATGATGTCTTTCCCTTCTCTCTAAGTAATCCTTTGTGTGCGCTCTTGCACAGTCCTGTAGTTTTAAAGAATACATACTGTACTCCCTGGGTGATTGCTACAGATTCATTGGAGATAGAAGAGGAAAAGGTTGGAGGTTTTTCGGGGGGTCGGGCAATTAAGTGTCCAATATTATTGTTCCTAATTTAGTGCATGGTTGGACTCTGTGTGTTGATCTCTGTGGGCTATCTGCTGAGGTAATACACAATCTGCCCACAGTTCCCTCCATGCCAGGGCTGCTCTCAGTCAGCACTGCCCGAGGGAATCATCTCCGGCCCAGCCCTCTGCCATTCTCCATGTTTAATGTGTGTGGAGCAGGGAATGAAAGCTGCAGCCTGTAGTCAAGGGCCACATTTTCTTGTCATTACACAAGGCAGGTGCTTGCCTTTTCAAAATCCTGACCTCAAACTTTTGACTCTTTTAACCAATGAATTTTATGAGGTGTAAATCTTTTAAGAAGAGATAAAATAATGTTTTGCAATGCATTTTTCGGTGTATGAATGACATGAACATGCTGTCATCCAGGTAGGGTACATTGCAAAATATTTTTAGAGCAAAACAGCAGTTGACAGAATGCATTTATAAAGTGTATATCTTTTTAATATTCCAAGGTAGAGTCAGTGCCTTTAGATAATCTAAAAGTGTAAATGCAGCTGCATCTAAATTGGGCTGAGTTCTGAGTTGTGTGTATGTATAAAACATTGGCTCAAATTGTGTGTGACTTTTTAAATTCTGTGATGATCTATCAAAATGTCACATATTTATGGTAATTACATTAAATTAATTTAAATATTGACCTTAATTGTCCTTTCTCTTCACTTTGAACTTTTTGTGCAGGGTGCTTTCACATTTCGTGGCAGCATGATCGACATGCCGTCTCTGAAGCAGGCTCAGAACATCATCACATTGTCCACGGCAGTGTCCAGCAAATAAGTGAACTCCGGTGAGAATCAGAACACCTCCTCTGCTTTACCAGAAAACGGACATAGCACTGGCAACTTGGACATGGTGGACTATAAGAATAACATTACCTGATAATGAACAATGTAGTTTTTAAATAATGGGTTCTGAGACTGGTAATCTCCCCTTCATAAACACCATATAAATAAAACTCCTAATAATGGTATGGCTGCCTCGTGTTGCCACTTTCCTTGGACACTTCCAACTGGACGGGACATATGGTAAACAAATACAACCAGCTATACACTCAATCAATATAACTTTTTACACATCAAAGTTGCAATATTTTGTTCAACTACAGCAACTTAAGTCATGACAATATTTCAGATTTATCAATAAACAACAAAGATGCCTAAGTTATCTCCCCTATCTTGTCCCTATAGTTGTTTTTACCCTTGCAGCGTTCCCACAACCTGTCTACTTTTCCAGTATAGACATAGACAAACTTTATTGGTCCACAAGGGAAATTATTTAGACACAGTAGGTCAGACATCACAATATTATTACAATAATGAAGAGCAAAAATATAAATGGTGATGATAATAGTAATAATAAATTAAGAATAAATAGCAAAAATAACAAGAGACTATTGTCAAATAATGCATCCTTATCTAAATGTATATGCACAAGTACAACTTAAATAATACATCTCAGCTATATACAAGAGGCTGGAAGGAGAAACTGCGCAAAGATGAAATAATGATTTACAGGATATAGAGTTATCTGTTACATTAAGGTGAGTTGTGGTACAGTTGTATGAAGTATGGTATGTAGTCCTGTATCTTTCACCGTCTGAGCGAAGCTGCAGGAGTATACCCACTTGTAAATGAGTACAGACTTGACCACTTTGTTGTGTTGTTACAAATAAAGGTACAATAGGGCACTTGTGCGCGCCTGACTTCCACAGACAGTGAAGTGGGTGTGATGTTGGAGTGAGACAGATTAGTGGCCATGTTGCTCCAGCAGACCAGGACTGGCCCTTTGTCTCTGCTGACTGCGGATGGAAGGATAATTGGGGGGGTGTTGAATGGTTAATAGTGCCATTGGTGACCATGGTAATGAAAAGCCCGAGCATGCCTCCCCCTGCGCCCCACCTCAGCCCTCACTGTCCCCCTCGTCCCGCTCGCTCCTACTGTATGATCCATTGTGTCTGGGGCCGGAACTGGAGTTGGGTCCGGGGCAGAATCACGTCACAGTTGCTTTAAATAGGAATATTTTCATGATTTTGACATTTTTAGCCTGTTGTCACAATTTGTTTATTTATTTATTTATTTATTTATTGAATGGGGCATTAAAGAGTAAAAATGCAAACACAATTCACAAAACTGTTAAATTCAATGGCAGCTACACTAACATTAGTTATGAAGAGCTGGATAAATAAGTACTTTTGCACACTTTCCAAATTGTTCCCAGTTAACATTTATAACACGTCCATAATACTTTTATTACCATCACCTACTGGGACAGGCCTTTTAGTGTCTTTTCACAACTTGAGATGTGGTGTCGCCAGATACATATACCAGATATAAATACTGTATATTTTTGCAAAGTAAACATGGTTCAAATATGATTGTGATTTTATTCATTCCCTCATGTTTCGCATTAGTTTATTAATTATACACAACAAAACACTAATGATTTAAAAGGCTTATTCTTAAATTGGATTGCAAATATTCACTCACTCTTCAACAGAGGCTCCCTTGGTGACTTCAACGTTGAGTCCAGAGTTTGATGGCGCTATTTCCTGGGCTGCATGCCACCAAGAGAGGTATTCCCCCCACAGACAGGAAAGCAGATCTCAAAGCAGAGGAAGTTGTGCAAGACTACATACTGTGATTAAGTACAAACTAATAATAGTAATGAGGGTTACAATGCCAAAACATGCCCCTTTAAGGTATCACATGCAGTTGTTGTTATCTTATTGTCACATTTCCTTGCTTCTAAATTCTATATTACATTTCTATTCTGAGAGGAACTGGTTAGAACTCCTCAGTTTCTTCTTAAAGCTCACACCTTATGTAAATACATTTCGCCATTTCCCTCAGAGTGGTAGATAAATTACAATTAACACGATTATAACCTCACTAAATTGTGTCAGGAATCAATTAGGCTGGGAGCGGTGCGTTGCGCAGGGGCCTGTAATGTGTTGCTTGAGATTGCTTTTCATAAGTGATGAGGGGGAGAAGGCACGTATGCAAAACACTGTCAGAGGAAAATTAAAATGAAATGTTTTACATATTTTTCCATTAATCTAAATGAGGCCCGTGTGGCTGGGAGTCTTTTTTTAATTCGCGCCCGGGGATGCCCAATAATAATGACTTGATGTTTTAATAGACTTCTAATGACGATATATGACAAACTAATTGCGCCATAAGAATATTTGAAAGCCATAAAATAGCCTACAACTTCATTGACCACGTAGAGAAGTATACAAAACAATGATTTAAATCGAAGATCCTTTCATATTAATTAATGCTGTTTCAATATTGTATTTCATATGAGCTAAATCAAATTATTTTTTGGACTTAATGTGTTCCAACTTAATGCTGGCTCTTTTATTAACTGTATTTCCGGAAATGTCTTCTCCTTTACGCGCACAATAGAATAAGAGAACTCTACCAAGTTATTGTGGCCTGTCAACGTTATTATTTCCCTTTGAACGTAACTGAATGGGTCTGTTTCATTTTTTAAAATTAAAATATGAATATGTGTCAACTAAATTTGCGTTTTTTTTAAATGATTATTATTATTATTTTATTTTATTTTACGCATGCCATATAATCTGGAAGGTTTGTATTTATTCGCGCTCCTTTTCCCTAAATTGAGATTCGTATTCTTGCACTTTCACATTGAGCGCGGTGGTTTAGTGTGGCAGCCGCCGCGCCCTTTGCTGTCTGTCTATCTGTGCCTCTGTCTGTCCGCCTCTCTGCCTGCATGAGTGATCCACATCATGCGCACATGTGGACCATTACTAACTTCATTTGAGGCGAGCTTTTGTGCTCCGCGTCACCAGACTTCATGGTTGTAATGGTACCTTATTTATCATCATTGCAGCCAACCTTAAAACCCATTCTAAAAAGGCACCTTAGGCTGTTTTATTTGTATTACTCATTCTTTATTATAATTTTATTTGGTCTTAAATCTTGAAAATGTGAATGCGCTTTGCACTGGTACTGTTTTGTAACGAAGATCAGGCCTTGTTATAGGCCATCGTTTACCCCCTATTCTTGTTCCTATTTTTTGAGCTTCTGACTTAAAAATAAAGCCAAAGTCAAAGAATATCCCAGCAAACGATGCCCATATGTACCTGTGTGTATTGAAAGTGTTGTTCTGATACCATAAAAGAGAATTTTACAGGCATATGGCGTAGGTGATTCTACCTTGCGCACTTTCCTCCTGTCTCCCGTCACTGTCCCTCTTTTTAACGGGACTGAGATCAAAGGCGCGGACACATCTACAAACCCACCCGCGCGCGCTTTGTTTGCTGTTGCCAGGAGTGAGGAGGAAGACTGAGGAGTGAGGAGGAAGACGACTGAGGAGCAGGAGGAGGAGCGGCTGACATGGTAATGAGACTTGTTACAGCGCGCGACAAAAAGTCTCCGCAACTTTTTTGGACTTTTTTTTTTTTCCTAGTGTCCATCTGTCGTGACGCTTTTAAAGTTAGTCTGGCTCCAACTTTACTGTGGCCTGGGTGGATTAAATCACTGTGTAATTTGATGAACTTATTTAAAAAATAAATAAACGAAATAGAGATTTTTATATGAAAAATCGTGATGCAGTTTTGGATATTCGAGCCTAAGGTCTAAGCATAAAAGTACGAAATCTGTTTCTACGACGTACGCCATTATGGCTTATCTCTAAAGAAAAACTTAGCCCAGAAAAAAAAAAACACGTTCAAGTTTCACATCAAAAATGTCCCACAGAATGATCTGCTAATTGTTTGCTGTTTTATGGTGACAGAGGCTCCCAGACTACGACACCCACAGACCAATAGAAAGTTTACGCGTCCGGGCACAGACACTTTGAGGTGCAGGGAATAAAGACAGAGAGAGGCTCGTAAAATGCTGCAGGTCGCAGAAATTTGGAGCCGGACAGGGCTCGTAGGGAGCACCGTTCTCACACCTGTCACCAAACACACACTTAAACAATCCCAAAACAAACTAAGATAAAATAAATCATAGGATATTTGGCTAAAATATTATTCCTTCTAACCTCGTCGCGTTTGGGGACTTATCCAAAAACCGCTAAAATAAATAAATAAATAAATAAATAAATAAAAGATAAATAAATAAAAAAGGATTAAATGTATGGTTAGTCTCTTTAAAAAGTAAAACGTGGACATGTCTAAATAATGGTCCTAATTATCCAACATTTTGGGCTTTTTTTTTTTAAACAAATTGTTTATTGTATTTTTATAGTTAACGGTGCCCCTTAATCCTCGGGCCTTCTTCCTGTTCTCCCAATTACGTCTTGGTCCGCCTCTCATTTCTTCATTTTTCCTGCCTTTTTTTTTTTTTTTTTTTTCCTTTTCTTTCTTTGGCGCGGAGCAGGTGGAGGCCGCGCACCTGCACGCACAGCTGCGCGCACCTTGTTATTGCTGCCGCTGCGTGACGCACATATGAGCGCAGCGCACAGCCAACAACACAATCCAGAGACAGTCTCCAAAGGCAGCTTTAGCAGAGGACAGTTAGTGAATAAACCACTCACATATGTAATGGATTATCTTATGAAACGTCTCCGGTTTAAAAAGCGCGTCTTCTCTCAGTTTGCTTGTATTTTGTCATGCTTGTGCGCGACACATTCTAATCCAATTAAAGACGATAACCCTGGACTCACATTATTCTCTCGCCCCTGTCTCCTTAGACTCGCTGACAGCCACTCGTGGTTCAGTGTGAAAGAGAGTCAAGAGCCTCCTCTCTTAATCCTGACCACGACTAGACGTGATTGAAAGACTAAAGTAAGAAAATGCCTCATTGGCTCTAGTCTTATGTGTTTTCTTTGTGCTCGGCTCGGACCTTTTTGTTTGCAATATTCATCACGTGTAAAACTCAGTTGATTTTGTTTTTTGAATAGGGACAATTTATAAAGTAAACATGCCCTTTTTAAATGTTAACATTTGAGCAGAGCTTTTTGATAAAAGTTTCAAAAGAATGCCGTAATTGCACACACCTCTACATTGTAATTGTCTTTGGTCTTACTTTTTCTTTTTTTATACTGCGCATGGAGTCGCAGTAATATATTATAGGTGTAACAAAATGACAGGTAATTGACATTAATCCGCTCGCTCTCAGACTCAGGGGGGATCTAAAGTAAATGGGGATACGGTTAATGAAGCACCACTTGCCCTTTGCATCTCGGTCACAGTGTGCAGCGGGAAGTTTGCAAAACTTCTCTTTTTTGGTTTGACATCGGCCGCTTTCCAGCCATGAGTCTCATAGGCCTAATATGGTGAGATTTATGATCGGGGCATGAGTGGAGAAAGTTTGTGGAAACGAGCGCATTATACAGTGTAAATGATGACTCAGTTTGTTTGCATGACATCTCCAATGGAATAGATGCTTTCCTGAGTGGCTCCAATAAAGCGGCATTACCATGTAGAGTTGCTCATACATGGCCTTGTTATTATGCTTATTAGGATTCACATCGGCGTGTGCTCTCTATAGGAGAGTGACAGACAGGCAGAGGCCAGGTGGGAGAGGTGCACTGCAAGTGAAGGCACTCGTAGCTCTCCTCCGCGCGTGCGGCTACAGGGGCCCGCGTAATGAGGGCACCTATGGGGACCTCCCGGATGGAGAGGTGTCCTGACCTCGCCTCGACCGAGTTCACAATTGGACTACGTCGACACCCACGTCCCCCCTCCTCTCTTTCCCCGAGCAGTGACTGCCAGAGCACCTCGTCAAACCGAGAGTTCAGGAGGGAGCGCGCAACTTTTTGACAACGATAATGATGTGCGTGGTGATGCTGAAAATGTTAGGAGGGGCAGTTGTAGGGAAATAAGGCTTTGAGTGTCTTATTTTTACCTCAGGACCTATTCACTTGTGATGGAAGAGCAGCACGCCAAAAGCCTCCCACTGAAATGATGAATACTTAATCTCCTGGATAGATTTCACCATCCAAGAAACCCTTCTATTCACGGGCTGTAACCACAAGGCAGATATTTTTTATCGAATGTCTTTGCTTTAAACAATTTGAAATCATGCGGATGAATAGAACATGGTCCACAACTCAGTGTGCACGCCTTCCCATGGGGTCATTTGGTTTTTTTTTTTGGTTTCTGCCATAGTAAATATCAAAAACCTTGCATAAAAAATCGCCAAAATCTTTGAAAATTGGAAGAACACTTCAGCAATCAACATTTATGAAACTTTTCACTGTCACTCAAACATTTGAGCAATTTCATGTCAGGAAGAGACAGAATAAAAATGATCTCTTCATTTTCTGCATATTTCCATGAAGCCTGTAGGATTATCTCATGTTCCCATACTTACAGCTCTATGTCCTATCAGTCATTCTAATAAAGGCTCAGCATCTCTTCAGGTTTAGTGTCACAAAGATGGATAAGCTTTGATAGTTTGTGAGGTACACTGTCATTTACAACCGCAAATGTCTGCGATGGGTCAAAAGGTGTTCATCCCCAATGGAGCTGCTCTAATTATACAATTAGTCTTGTGATTGGGATGGTCCGTGGCTAAGTGTCCTGTGGGATACCAGACACATTATGGCTGTCATCAGCATCTTCACAGTGAGGAAAAGAGGCACATTGGACAAATAAGTGTTATGGTCTAAGCAAAGAAACATTTGGAAAAGGTGCTTTCATTGATAATATCAGATTTTATATCCTCCATTTTGATGAAACTGATTAATGACAACTTGACCTTGCATGTGCACACAATAAAATGTTGAGCAAAAATTGAGAAACACTTGGTGGCGCTCTCTATATTTGGAACCATGATTCTGAACTGGAACTAGTGCATTTTCAAAATAATTGTTTCCAGCTCTTGATATGTTATAATGTTTTTGTGTAAATTCAAGTGGGCTTTGAATCCCACGGTCCCCCCATAAGGCTCATGGACACAAGTGTAGGGCATCTATGCATTTAATCATTCGTATCATTCACTCCATATGCTTCCTGTAGGCCCATTGGAAGACCCACTTTCAAGTCATGTCTCTTTGCCTATCCAGCCATAATTCCTTTCTGGCTTATCCTCGGAAACATCAAACAGCGATATTTCGGTGTGCTGTGCGTTGCCATATCTGTTATTGTCAAACCTTAAATGTGGAATGGCCTTGTGATGTTCCTGGTTGCACACAGACCACTCCATAATGTCCAAAGGAGGTCTTGGGGTTGTGCATGGATGAGGAGGCCACAGTCCCACCACAGTTAAGTATATTTACTGTTGGTGCACTGTCTTATCACGTTGGATTAGAGCTCCTACAGTGAGACTAGAAGCTGGGGATGATTGGTTACAAACTTTTGCCATAATGGAGACGCAGGTACATTTGAAGACCTTCAGATGTTGCCTTATCTTTTGTGAACACATATTGTCTTTTCATTTTTTTTTTTTTTTCCATTTTTTTTCAAAGTCCATCTGGCTCCTGCCTTTCACCTAACCCTGACCTCACCAATTCACCACTGCTTCCCAAGGAGAGCCGATCCACCAACTCCCCGACTGTGGTAGAATGATTTCTCCTCAGCTCTTAAATGCTGACCTTTTGGCAA